AGAAAATGGATTGGTTGGAACACTGCTTGACACACATAAGTAAAACTATATATATGTTACGCTCGTCTCTAGGTATGCTTAAACTATTACCAGTTCACCTTAGTCGAATAACGAGAACAAAACAATGAACCAGCGTCCAGGTAGGCTACTGTGATCCCTTGACCAAATTGTATCAGTAAGAAGTCTTGATATAGTGTAGAAATTGTTGTATTCTACAAACACCCAGCCAGTACACAATGAATCCAAGCGCTCAAATTGCGTGTTATTTATACTCTATAGAGACGTCCTTGTGACAGTCACAAAAATAGCACACTAAAATGACACAGTAACCAATCACAGCCAAAGATTTTCCTGATGGGAAATGTGATCTCAAGGTCAACTGACCGGTCCATGAAATAAATCCAAAATAAAGATATTATTTATCAAGCCAGTTCTGGGGATCTAACATCCTCAAAATCATCATTCTCAAAGTATTACAGAATATTAAATGAAATGCAAATATAAGGACATTAAAGTTGAAGACTAAAATACAGAAGATTAAGCTGTTAAATCACAATAATTTTGCAATAGAACTGATTGATCAGTATGACAAAGAATGATACACATATTTGAAACCATGAATCGATCAATGTTAGACCACCATTAGAATCCTGGAGGCAGTGGAAGACGACCGTTTCCTCCTGGTATGGGACTACTCATCAGAGGCAGTGCGCATCCACGACTCCTGGATTCGAACTCAGGACCTTCGGTATTGTAGGCGAACGTCTAACCATCGCAACACTGAGCCGGTATCTAACTGTGTTGTTAATGTCTAAGTTGATCAATTCACAGAGTTGCGCAACCTCATACACAGTCTTCGGTAGTAGTTACTGTCTACACCCGAACAGGTTGAACTCACACTGGTCACGTCTTCCCACTAGGAGTCCCATACCAGGATGAAACGGCCGTCTTTCAGTGCTTCTTCCAGGTTTTTAATAGTGGTCTAACAACATTGATCGATTCATGCTTTCAAAAAAAGAATTATACATTAAAATGAAAGCTTCAGATTTTTATAGAATAAAACTGAGATAAAAATGTTTTACAGATTTTAAATTAACCGGGACAATATTTCTAAAATTAGCTTCTGCTGTTGAATATTTCTTTACTTCACTTTTTTACAGTTGCATACTGTTGTGTGTGCGCGCACAAAAATGATAATCATAATGTGTCTGATTCTGTTATAGGGTAGACAAATTGCGCTAACAGGCAATAAAATAAGTTTTTTTAAAAAAAGAACTAAAACTGAACGGGGAATTCATTTCTTAGTGAATTTATCGATCGGGAGATTTGTAGATTAGTGCAATATTGACTTTATTAGATTGAATCAATGCACCATTTTTCAACTTTAACTAATATTCAAATGTTGAAAATGGCTTAGATCTAGAGTTCTATGAGTTTTAATAGATCAGTGATGGTTCGACAATGATCGATTCGTGATTTCAATGAAACAACCTAACAATCTCCTTGACTGTCTAATGAAAATCATAGAAATGTGCTCACCAGTTTCATTAGTTTCATGAGGAAATTTTCCGATTTTAAATGAGATGTGATGATCTGCAGAGTCCAACCCTGTTGGATGTAGGCAGCTGCCAGCTGAAGACAATGAGCAAGATCGCACAAGACTGTGGATTGATTGAAGTATGACATTAAGATCGTTAGACTCCAGCTCAGTGGTTGAGAGGTTGAATGTTTATACACGAGACCCAATGTCCTGAGTTCGATCCGTGTGATTAATGATCATGGATATGCCCTGCTGATGAGTCCCATACTAGGACGAAACGGCTATCCAATGCTTTCAGGTTTTTATTGGTGGTCTAACATTGATCGATTCATGATTTCAATAAAACAAGTTTCTGATTGATTCCAGATAGAAGTAGAGATTGATTCAAACTAGAAAATTACTGACAATCTAGCTAGATTCATGAATATAAGTGATGAGTGTTTTTAGATGATATATGTGCGAATAAGTATTGAGTACTCTGTAAACATGTGAATCAATATGTATTCGTCAGTTGGTTATTAGTAATCAGTCAGTCAGTCAATCAATCAATCACTTGTAAAAATACATTTCACTTATGGGATTCAATCAAGAACAACTTACACAAACGATCCAAAATAGAATCATTGATGCCAAAATAACATGTTTTTTAATGAAGTTTATTGCTAAAAGCAACAAACTAGATTGAACATATTCAATACGTGAAAAAATTAAAATTATAGTTAGGTTAGCAATGGAATCTAGGACGGGCTATTTATTCTGTTTAGAGACTTACGATTAGCTCAATGTGTCTGCTGCATCTCTGAAATGATGTCCACTCTAGGACATTCATGTCAAACGTCATTGCGCTAGCTACTGAGTTAAGGCTACCAGACGCTAGTTACTTCTAATGGAGCATAGGTTGCCGACCACTTTTCTCCATCCAACTCTGTCCAGGGTTTCCCTTACCAATCCAGCTGCATCCTGGCTTTCCATTGGATACCATTCTTCCATCCAGATGTTGACGTCTTCATAATCCAGTCGATCACCAGGAGAAAGAGAAAGGGTGAGAGTAAGCAACCTTGCCTGACACTGGTCTTCACCTCGAACGAGTTTGTCAGCTGACCTCCGTGTACGATTTTGCAGTTGAATCCATCATAAGAATTCCGTATGATGTTAACTATCTTCTCAGGCACACCGTAGGTCGAAGAAGCCTCCACAGTGTTTTCCTGTCCACGCTATCAAATGCTTTCTCGTAGTCGATGAAGTTGATGTAGAGTGGTGAGTTCCATTCAATTGATTGTTCCACAATGATCCGTAATGTAGCAATTTGGTCAGTACACGATCGATCCTTACGAAATCCAGCCTGTTGATCTCGAAGTTGGGCGTCTACGAAGTCCTTCATTCTGTTTAACAATACCCTGTTGAAGACTTTGCCTGGTATTGAAAGAAGAGTGTGATGCCTCTGTAGTTCTCAAACTTGCTGAGATCGCCTTTCTTTGGTATTTTCATGAGGTATCCTACTTTCCAATCTGATGGAACTTCTTCCTCATCCTAAACTCCGCCTGTAGAACCTTTGGGGCTACTGACAGTCTCAAGCCCGAGTAAAGGAGGAGGGTTAGGCATAGGGTTGGCCACCCCATCCCAAACAAACGCTAACCAAAATATATATATATATATACTTCACCTCAGAAAATCAGTCCATTTCTTGACCAATAATATAAATTCGTCCTTCAGGACGTTTCTGATCAAATGATCATCAGATGACATTTTTGTTCAATCACTTTTGCTTTCCGCATTAAATCATTATCTAGTGATTACCTACTTTTGATCATTCATCTGAACTAATCCTATCGCACACATAACATGTAATGCAGGAGAAGACGATCAGGGTAGTAGCAGCCTGAGAAGCATTAGGTCTCAACACACACAAAGGGAAAAGCAAGATTCTCCAATACAGCACAACATGCGCCAACCAAATCACACTTGACGGAGAGGCTTTGGAAGATTTAAAAACCTTTACATATCTGAGCAGCATCATTGATGAGCAAGGTGGATCTGATGCAGGCGTGAAAGTGTGTATCGACAAAGCAAGGGTAGCATTTCTACAATTAAAGAACATTTTCAACTCGAAAAGACTACCAACCAACACCAATTTACAATACAAATGTCGAAATAGTTCTGCTGTATGTGCCGGAATCTTGGAAAACTAAGAAAAGACATCATCTAGAGCATATAACTATTCATTAACAGTTTTCTACGCAAATTACTTCAGATTTGTTGGTCAGACATCGTCAGCAACAACCTACTGTGTAAGAGAACAAACCGAATCGCAGAGGAGGAAGAAATCAGGAAGAAGCGCTGGAAGTGGATAGGACACACGCTGCGGAAAGCACACAACTGTGTCACAAGACGAGCCGTCATTTAGAATCCTGCAGGCCAGACAGACAGACAGATATATACAACGCAGAACTTCGTACATAAGTACATCATTTCAGGTTGTCATACCACATCAGCACAGAGACGCAACATTCAATTCAAATCCAATAGTAATAGCGATAGTAGAATGATAAGTAGCAATGGAGAAGATTAGGGAGCAAAGATATAATTTGAAAAGTATAATTCAGTGAGATTAATTTAGAAAGCGAAAAATAGAGACGATGAAGAATTCAGAAGATTAGAGTTTGAGAGAACACAGAGTGGATGCACCTGCGCCATTGCAAACGATTCTGAGCCATGTCATTCAAGGTCTCTAACCATTGGTGACTTTCGTCTCGCGGACACCAACCACGTAGCCTATATCTACCAACATGACTCAGTCCACTTGTCAGTGGCTTTATGGATTTGTGCCATGTTTTGGTTTGGCCACCCCTAACTTTCTTCCAACCTACTCCTACACCACAAAACGTAGCTCGTCGCGGCGGTCGGTGGTTGGGCATACGTAACACATGTCCTAACCACCTCAACTGATGAAGTTTTAATACTTCATCTATTGATTTTCCATCCCTACCTAGAATTCGTTTTCTAACTGCAGTATTGCTTATACGTTTGTTCCATGATACACGAGCAATGCTTCGGAGACACCGATGATCGAAGACGAGTAAACTACTCATAACGGCCATGTTTCGCATCTGTACACTAGGACGGAACGAACTGTAGCACGGTACACTCATCCTTTAGTCAGCAAACGTATATCTCACCTACGCCATAAGTGACGCAGGTTGGCAAAAGCCAATCCAGCCTTCTGTATCCATGAAGGCCAGAAGAAAAGAGTAAGACCCGAAAAATAGACACTGTACACCGAAGAATGTAGACAGACATGCGAACAATGAACAACAATTGAAATAAAAGTGAAAAGGTATATGGAGGAGGATAAAGTAGGTTTAAAAAATGCTGGTCACCTCATCTACAAAATATAAACAACTCTTTTATTGAACATTGAATCGATTTTTTGATTGTTTGATTGTTTGGTTTTTTTTCTCAGATATTCAATGAACATTTACCATGGTTAAAATATAATAAACCAAATTTATCAGCATCTGAAAAAGATCGTATTAATAAACGTTCAACTGGTGGTAGTTGTAGTGGACAGAACACAAACAGTTCGAATGGTAGTAATCACGCAATGAATACATCAATGATATCGAATAGTACAGGACATAATTGAAAGTTTTTGGTGCTGTGGTTCTTCTTCATGTTCTGTTGGTTGAATTTTCATTTTAGAGAGAAATAGAAAGATAACCCCAAAAAACAGATCAATATTCAATATTCAAGATTCTTGTTGATCATGTTTATTTGCCGCCCCCCAAAAAATTGAACAAATTTCAATTTATTTTAACTTTGAAGCCATGATATTATTCTTCATTGATAAAGATGACCAGTATGAATGCCCCATTATCACGATTATAACAAGGTTACATACATAACTACTATGGATTAGGGGTCTCATGTTCGCTTTATCATGTTAAAAAGGTGACAAGTGTTCTCATTCTTTGTCATTTGTCACTTTGTCATGTTTTTATTCACTAACAACACCTCATTTTGCCATCAAGATTTTGTGATGATCGATATTATTTACAAATTACTGGACCATATTCTACACCTAAACACACACACATACACTTCAGTATTCATTCCTTCGTGTTCACATCACATCACATCACATCATATGTATTTAGAGGTGTGGATTTCTGTTTAGCTGATATATGCATATATACCTCCCTCTTTGTTTTTTTACTCTGTATATCCTATTCCTTTGTTTGTTTTTTTTCTCCCTATTTAGTTGAATTTCCCGCCCAGAATTTTGTTTTAAATTTATATCGAGAATGTAAAACAAATTGTATATTATTCGTAATTTCTGAATTTATTATCACACTCACTAATCATAGTTATCAATCAATCAGTTCACATTCTATCTGTATTTAATTTTTTTGCCTCTGAATCACAGAAATCAATAACTCGTTTGATTTTTTTTCTTACCTTGAACGAAGTAAGTAAGCGGATAAAGAAACATTGAGCTAGCTGCATCTTCTCTCATTCAAATCAACGTAGAGATTCTCTATATCTGTATGTATATTACATTGTATCTGTGTGTGTCAGTGTGTATGTGCGCGCGCACACACATACATACATAGTCAAGTGTTCATTCATCTTGAGTTTTCTTTCCTCTTTTCAATTGAAACATTGAATTTGTCTATTGAACATTGAATTTGTTTTATTGGTTTATTTCTTTCATTGGAAATCATTTTAAATTTCATTATCATACTAATTAATAAGTATTGTTGGATATGTCTTTTAACTAAGTATTCTGCAAATATATAACTATATATATATTGATTTATTTTAAAGTTTTTCATCGTACTCTATTGATTAGCAGTGGATAAGAAATTGATGAAACGTGTATATTGAATTGTCTCATAAAATAATCAGTCTTACATTGTCATGACTAATAACTATCACTCTTTCAATTAAGGAGTTCACTGTTTGTACTTATATGCTGACTTACTTACGCCTGTTTACCCCACTTGGAGCATAGATCGCCGACCAGGATTCTCTAACTAACTTGACGTTGGGCTTTGCTTTCTAGTTGGTCCCAAGTATTATGCATTCTTTGAATATTTGTCGTCAACTTTC